TGTGACCCGTCAGCCGAACTAGACGTATTAAGAAGTAATCCAACGCGATTGATGGAAAGATCAGACAATCCCCTACCCTTACTTCAGGGCCCTGATGACCGTCTGACTATCTTAGTATATGAAAACCTCCCTAACGAACAGCAGTGAGTCTACCGCTTCCTTGGTGCAGCTATTTCCACCTGAATGATACCGCAGAAAGCTGAAAGCCTGAACATAGTTTTGATGGAGAGTTCCCCGCCATATCTTGAGGGAATTTATGTAGAGAACGAGCTACTCAGAACCAATTCGGGGCGTAGTAATCTGTCTGTTCAGGGACGAAGTCAAAGCTCTCCAGAACTCCAGTGTCGTGCTACGACAGGCGCAATGTTCAACATGGCGTTAAGCGCTAATTTAAGCATAACTAATTGACTCTGTCTGAGAGTTGCAGTAGGACACCCTTGATAGAGAGAAGATCCTCAACGGGTATTTTGTACTTTCCGATAATCAAGACCAGTTACGTCTTGCTGGGATTTACTGTGAGGTCGAAGTTGGCCGCCCACTTAATTACCTGGTTCAGGTAACTTTGAGTCATCTAGAAATCGTCTCTTAACCAAAAGTGCTACATCATCTGCATAGGCGAACGCCCGAAAGCTCCCTTCTTCCACTTGTTCTAGAAGACCCACAGGCACAAAAAAACTAATTGTTATTGGGGAAAGAGGGAAGGTGGAAGGGAAAATTCCAAGTGAACCGACTAAAAAAAATTTACACAACCATTTTTGATCGTAGTCATAAAGAAAGTCATATGCCTAATGTAGATGCGAGTGCGCGCCTAAAAGACGGTTGCGTAAAATTTACAGTTCATTGATTTTTGTGAAAATTTTCGGAAGTTTTTATTTTTACCCTCGAAAGCTGGCAATGAGTGAAAACAACAACAACAACAACAACACTGCTATGCAAATGAAGTGAAATTGAACTTATTTGGGTGAGTTGCCGTTTGAGAAGTTTGCTGTTATTTTGCCTTTTTCAGAGTTTTTCATTGTTTCTCAAAGTAAGTGCCAAACTTTTTTTAAGCGGAAGTAATTCGTATTGAAATATACTATGCATACGCAAGCATGTGTGAATGATATGAGTGCGCGTAAAAAATATGAGTGATGTGTTTTGTGAAATAATAATGCTGCGCTGAATTGAATTTTTGCTTTTTATTGCTTGAAATACGCACTTAAGCATGTATGTATATATGTTCGTTGGCATTTTAAATTGGGTTTATTTGCGTTTTAACAGAGATTTTTGCTTGGATTTTATGTATGTGGTGTTAACAAAAAAAAAAACTCAATCAAAGGCGTTTTTCATTGAAGTTGAAGAATTTTTAAAATAAGTTTTCATACATATTCGAAGCTTTAAAACTAATAAAATATTGGCTAACTGTACCTTCTCTTTGCTGACAAGAAAGCAAACCATCATTGGTAAGTAGCACATATGTATGTATCTAGACTGCAGAAGGAAAAAGGTTTATTATTAGGTTTGAAATCCGTACATAAAAGTGCGACTATTCCCATTGCATTCTCTGGTGGACACAGCCAAGCGTCGAGTGACCAGAAGGCTGCACAAACTGTCAATACCCAATGTGTCTTTTGTTTACACCAGTAGCGAATTTCTACCAAACCCTAGCAAAGCTTCAGCATGGCTGGGCAAAGTGCCAAAAGCATCACTACGTAACTCAATGCCGTAAATACCTAGACAACTGACGGCGTTAAGTCGTCAGCCAAATTTTTTTCGAGTTGAAATATCAAGACCTAAAAAAATTAGCCATGATATCACACTCTAACACACTCTCCCCGTTTCTGTTTAATTGTTTTATTTTGAAGCTTCCCAACCACCAGAGGGAGCTTTCGATGACCCTTGTTCAAAACTAATCACTTAAATCTCCCAACATTCTAGCTCCTTACATCAACGAGCCTATTCGTTCCCCTTCGAAATCCTCAGCGAGCAATTCTGAAATTTATCAACACGAAAACACTTATGGTAAGAACCACAAATATTAATATAGAACAGGGCCGCTGCAAAGTTTTCAAATACCTTGCAGTCACATGGGGCAAATACATGGAAACGTTGTCGGCCACATACAAGTTTATTGGTCGGCCAGTTCTTAACTATACACCACCGATTTGGTCACCGGGGACAAATAGGGAACAAGTATATGAACATGAACATACATGCTACAATACAGCTCTCCGGACTGCGATGTGATATCCCCTGAAGTCATAAGAGGACATAATAATAACAATGAAATTTTTACGAACTGCAGTACGAGAACCAGATCTACGTAAGACAGTCACGCTCGGTGAAGATGTCATCGGAGTTCAGTGTCCATCTATTGATAAGGAAGAGCTTCAGCTGCCTATTGAGAACCTATTTACTCGGGCACAATTACGATCTGAGTATTGTAACAGGCTGGTGTTCTCCTTAGGACGACTAGACCTCGAATATGCCCGGTATGTGCAGGTTTCCCTCACGACACCAACCACCTCCTCACATGGCCATTTAACCCAATTCACCTAAATAGTCTCTTCCTTGGCTCGATCCCTGCGAAACAGCATGCTTCCAACTCTTAGTTGAGATTGACGACAAAGATTGAAAAATTATTGGATTCTAGGCTGCGTTAAGTAGTCACTACAACAACTAAGCAATAAAACAGCAATAAAAAAACCAACAAAAGGGGTCCCAACGCTTTTCAATGGACTCCTAAAACTATACATGTAAGGCTATAGGTGCCAGGATACCTTGCTATCCACTATCAAGTTTAGATGCTTCAACCTATCAGAGAGTATACATTTTTAGTATGCCACCCAGTGAGAGAGGCGGAAAAGTAGGAACTTTCTTTTTCCTTTTTAACAAAGCGAATGGTGTTTGACAAAGCTTCACGCGTAATTACTAGTTTGCGGTCTACTTTACAGTTTGAGCTAATCCCGCATGCGTTCATACACGGTGTCAAGCCTTTATCTACAAATTGTGTTAATAAGTTACAGATGGTTTGCCAAAGGAGCGAGGAAGAATCAGAGAGGAATTTTATAGTTCAAAAATTACTTTGATTATTTTTAGAAAGTAGTAGTGAGGCATGTTTGTCCGTAAAAGGCGATTGAAATCCATTTGGTGTGTGTAACCTGAATGCCATTCATGTGTTTCGGGAAGTACGAGGATGAGGAGAAAACCACCGCCTATAAAAACGCAACAATTCAGGCAATTTCGAGGACTGGATACACGAAACCCTTGCCTAAAACATAGAGTAGAAGTGATGCCAGGGTCAGTCGAGGCAGAACTACACTGGCGTGTTATCTGTAAGAAAATGGGTAGCAACCGGGAGGGTAGAGAAGGTGCTACTGTGGTTTTGAGGATGGGACAGGGCTCTGTTATCTGCGGAATAAGTACGGAAATCGCTTGAGTCTCTTTTCTGATCGTAAACGAGTGATCAAAGCGATTCGCGCTACAGTCCAGTGACGGCCACTCGAATAAATTTGCAGCTCTATAAAGCCGCTCTGCAGTGACAGTTCACTTGAGGCACTGGCCAGCCCTCTAACTTATTACTTCCAAACTAGTTCGGCTATGCAAATCACGACTTAATTATATTGGTAAACGTATGGAGCTTGCTTTACTCGGTAGTAACTGGTAATGAGCCACCTGATTATTTGGGCAAAGTTGGCTCAGGCCATCAGAAACTGGGCGAAGACTTCGCCCAGCAATGACTGGGAGACATCGAGGCCTGCAGGTGGGAACAATTCATATCTCCCTCAATCTCAGAAGGTCTATCTAGTTTTTTCTCTCATTGTGCCGACAGGACTGCAGGCAACTTGTTGGACTGCTGACTGGTCACTTCCCGTGGCACAAACACCTGCTCATCGTTCCTGGAAGTGGATGAAACGGTGGAACACTTTTTGTGAATTTGCCCCGCCTTTGCAAGAATTAGGTACGACGAACACCTGAGCCTTTTGACGCCCAAAAATCTACTAAGGCTTATTCGTAAATCCTGCAGATTTAAAACAGATTAAAAAGGACATGAAAACAGTACAATGGACAGCACGTAGTCTGAGTGCTGTTATCTGCCCACCTTGTTTAGGCCTTAGCGAATTTACGGCAGTTGTTCATCCCGAGCGCAGATAGGTCCTTTTTCACTTGATCCTTCCATTTCGTTCGTGGGCGCCCTTGCTTTCCTTGTCCAATTAGTGCCCATAGCTATAGAAATTTTTCACTGCCTTCAAACTGTTAAAGACCTTCGAAATCTTTGTCGTTTAAAGTGTTCCGAAAAGTTTCGAAATTAGAAATTATTTGCCGCTTGGAGCCATAGATTTGCTAAGCCAAAAATGCCAACAACAAGAAAGTTGAGTTAAAAAAAAAAAAAACTTGTCGCATCTTCACGCTTATCAGCAATTTCAGTACGAATTTAATTTCCGCACAACCACCGGTGCAAGCGCTCATACGCACACAAACACAAAGGTGCACCCTTTACTTTGGTTGCAATAGAATATACGAGTACGTATGTACGTATGTATGTACATACATATTTAGCAATTGAAATTCACAAAGTGCAAATACTTTGCTTGTAGTTAGCTCCAAATGATTTTACACCACAAAAATTAAGTTTTCACACAAAGTTTTTGGAAGCAACCATCGTCGAACGTCGCCGGCGGTGGCTGTATCTCGCCACTGTCTCTGTGTGTGTACATATATTTGCGTCTGAATGTGCCTTTTTTTTTGAAACTACGAATTCGAAAAGTTTTCAATGTAAGTGCGATTTTGAAATGTCGAAACTCAAAACATTCAACCACAAAATGGTTTTTGTTGCATAGAATGGAGTCGTCAATTCCACCAGCTTTGCTTTCAGCTTCATTTGACTTTGGTTTGTGTTTTTGGCGATGAGTAGATAAGTTCTTGCAGATAAGTTGGAGTTGGTTAGACGCTTATACATACATATATATATATATATATATATATATATATATAGAAGGATACTACGTGTTGCCACTTACCTTGTTGCCAGATCGCGATGCACGAAATTCATCTGCTCCAAATGTTTCATGCCCGATGCAATTTGCGTAGCCATGTACACCAGGCAGCCGTAGCTATTTTTACATACAGAAATTCAGCATTCGCGTTGTTTGCCCAATTTTTTATTTGACCACCGCCCCCACCACCCATTCAATGCATAGTCGTCGTCGTCGTTGATGGAGACATTAGAGTGGCAATAGCAGCGGCGTGTTTGTCAGGAATGTGAAAAGTTTTCGGCCATCAACCCCATACAGAGAGCAGAGATGGCGAAAAGTATGTATGTATGTATGCGACAGCAAGCACAACACAGTATCTCGGCATCGTAAATCAGGCGGTAAGGTTGTGGCGAAGAAAAAAGTTACAAACGCCATTATCGGTGGCATTGTTGATGAAGATGATGTTGGTGCGTTGTTGGTTGTCATTTTGGTGTTTGGTATGGTTGTTGAAAATTATCATCGACACGAGACCGGAAGTATGATAGGACAAACATTATTTTTGGGAAAGCACAAAGTGAGGAAAATTAATAATAATGTAGATGATCATTATTGCATCGGCGGCGTTGGTTTGTTGGTGTAGTTACAGACGTGTTTTTGTTTTTTTTTTTTTTGTTTTTGAGGGAGTAGACCAATGGAATTTTCATCATTAGATTTCATGTTGAGGATGAATTTGTTGTTGGTAGTAGTGGTGTTTTTCAGACGGAGCCGCCGCCAAGCAGGGTAGTAGTCGTCGTCGTCGTTGATGTCATCAGCCAAACGGAAGTCGGAAACAAGATAAAGCGCAGAGGATGTAAAACAAGAAATGAAATGAAAAATTTGTTAGAAATTTGATTTGGTTATTTTGAAATTTTGTATGTGTTTAAGTAGTTGTGTACATTTATTTATGTTAGTTTAAGGCGTTACAATTTGAGGTCTCAGCATTTGTTAATTTTAAAGTCATAAGGATAATTATTTCTACGCAAAAGACTCGCGGGTTATCTCATTTGCTGGCAGTAAAGTAAAAGAAAAATGGCCGACCAAAATGGTACAACCATCAGGAATGAACAACTCCACGTCGTAGTACACACCTCTTACCTATCGGCCACGACAGACGACAATATTTTTTGGTTAAAAATTGGTTGAAGAATAAGTATGGGCACTGCAAGTCGAATTGCATCTAAATAGAAGAATAACCTTAACTTGTATTGAATAACAGGGTAATTTTGGCTAAGATAGTTGCAGGTCTTTTGTACGACAACTAAAAGAAAGGCAAGATAGTTTGAAAGAGAGAGATCCAAGGTTCAAATTCTCGGGCAGCGATTTTTTTTTTTAATTTAATATTTCTGCTTTTTTAAATTAATTTTCACATTATATTGTTTTAAAAAGAAAAAAAATATATAATTTTTAATTATTTTAATTTTTAAAAACTTGCTTTTATGTATTTATTTAATTTTTAAATTTAAATTTATTCTTTTTAATAAAGTATTTCGATTTTTTTTGTTTAAAAAAATTAATTGCTTCTAATTTTTAGTAACATATTTCATTTATTTTTATTTTTTTATTAAATTTTATTTTTTAATTTGATTTGCTTTTATTTTTAATTTAGTTTTTAGATTTTATTATATTAAAAAGAAAGTATTCTTTTAATTTCATTTGTTTGTTAGAAAATTATTTTATTTATTTTTTTATTTTCTAATTCTTTATTTGTAGATTATTTCAAAGAGAAATGTATTTTTTTTATTTCCTTTCAGATTTTATGGTTTTCAAATCAAAAATATTTTTGTTTTGTGTATTTAGTTAAATTTTTATAAACCGATTTTTAATTATGTTTTCCTCCTTTAAAAATGATTTTTTTTCTTTTTTACCTTTGATTGTTTTAAAAAGTCTATATTAGTCCCCTACAGCTCTACAGTACTGGTTGCATTCAAAATCCACTTAGTAATCTGAATGCTTGAGCAGAGCCAACTACTGCGAAAAGGTTAAAATTTTTCCGGTCTTTCAAAATAGCTGATTGTCGGCAGCGTTCCTACCGCTTCCCTTCCAATGCATTCCCATCCCTTGCAAGCCTTCCTATACTTTTCACTGCCGTCCTATCCCTTCCAATGCCTTCGTATCCCTTTCAATGCGTTCCTTTCCCTTCCAATGCCTTTCTATCCCTTACAATGCGTTCCTATAACTTGCACTGCCTGCCTATCCCTTCCAATGCCCTCGTATCCCTTCCAGTGCATTCCTATCCCTGCCAATGCCTTCCCATCTCTTCCAACGCCTTTCTATAACTTCCACTGGGATACTTTCTCACAAGAAAGTCTGCGTATTAATTGTGTGCTGCTATAACTAGGCGTTTGATTACAACCGATCTAGGAGTAGAAATTTCTCGACCACGTTTGGCAGGTAAACAAAAAAAAAAAACCAGAAGTAACACTCATCGGTCAATGCGAATGAGTACTGGTCTATAATAAATCCATATCTGGATTTACTAACGGCACCTTTACAACTGCGCTTTTCCAATGAAAATACTCCAGCTTTTTCGCTGCTTACATTGCACCCATTGTACTCGCTTTGAGCTCTACCCAGAATTGTAGCGGACGACGGTAAAGCGGTCGACGGTTAATCGCTGTCAAAATTCAAACTCACAAAGGCATATGGAATGGTCCATAATTGCGGCGGCAGCGTTTTTACCACCGACGTTTTTCGGTTGATTTCAATTTATTTATATTTCTACTGCCCAGCGGGAACGGCACAATTTGATTGAGTGTTGATTGTAGTATTTTTTATTATTTTCACAAGTTTGCTAATGTTTTCACCTATTGTTTTTTTCCAGAAAATCTACATACATGCACGTACCGAAAAAATATTTAATTTTAATGAAAATTTTCAAATCAATCAAAAAAATGACAACTGACGGAAGTCGTCGTGCGCCGCTATTGTGTTTATCCTGACGGTTCATATATGTTCATGAAATATATAAAAAAGCTTGGAGGTCATCATTTGTTTAGAGAAACCGGAATATTTGTTTGATTATTCTTCACATTTTTTGGTACTATCCACCACTACATTATGGAGGATTACTATATAATTGGCATCTTATATGAAAGTCAAAAGTCTTTTGACAGACCTAGGAATGAATAAAAGTCGGCACCAACTCTTCGATTTAGAGGTACACCTATGGAGAGACTACGATTACTTTTGAACATAGTATACGGAATACCAGTGAATTTGTTTTATTGCAAGAAACTATGTAGAATTTAGCCAGTCATTCCTTGTGGTCGTAAGGTTCCATTTAAGTAGCTGCTGAACCAAAACTAAAGAAAAGGTCTATCGAAGGATTTAAGAAGGAATACGCAGCTATTATTCCCATCAACACTTCTGTTTCTGTAAACTGTCAAAACTACACTTGCAGCGGCATGAGCTTTTGATTATCGCACGTAAATTATTGCGCATAATTTCCCTGAAAATTTTGCAAGGCAACCACGGAATAGTTTGAAAAAGATTGAAGCTAATATTTGGAGTATTTTTATAAAACTAACTTATGTTTCTACACATTGCAGATAACTTAAGTAATAGGCATATGTTAAGCTCAGCAGAAAAGAAATCCAAACGAAGAATGAATTGAAACCTGGGGTCAATTGAATGGGTTGATTTATGAATCGAACGAAATAATTTTGTGTACTCAATCTTATTATGGTCATTGTATTTTTCTTAAATATCTACAATCATCAAAATAGCCTTATAGAGGAAAACGAAGTTTTGCTAAACTTAAATACTAAATTTGATCTGCTACCTCTATAATCATACTCACCTTAAGCTCTTATTCGTCATAATACCCGCCTGTAGGCTGTGCGTCGTTTCGGCTACATGCTCCTGTAGGAATTGATTCAAATCACCCAAGCATTCAGAGTAATCGAATACCATGCAAATGGGCTCATCACGCAGGCAAGCGCCTAGTAAATGCGCCACATTTGGATCGTTGAGACGCGCCAGTTGTTTCGCCTTACTGCGAAATTCTTTGCGCATATGTTCGGGTGCGCCGGGCCGGAGAGTAGCGACCGCAACCAAGTTGGCGCTGGAGGAGAGAGGAAGACGTACAAATATATAAAAAATTAGAACATTATATTTATTTACCTACATATGTATTTTAGAAATAAGCGGTACTCATATATATGGCTTGACGTTCAAATAACTAACAAATTTAAAACACAACAGGAAAAGCAATGATCTTTGCTGCATCACAAGGCAACGCTTTGTGTAGCGTAAGCATACCGAATGGTGTCCGGGCCAGCCATATTAGTCATTAGCACCACAACACACATAGAGGTGCTAGCTCGAGAACGGAAAAAGCTTGGTAAATTCGGTAAAGTCGGAGACATTTCTGAAACAGAAAATAAAGCATAGCAGCATATTCTAAATTGATGACCGCATCAAGGGGAAATAGAGCTAAAAGCTTACGAAATATTGATGCTTGGATAAACGTGAAGCTTGTTTAAGTAAAACGTAAAAAAAATGCTGCTTCTATCCTGAAACGCTTGCTAAAGCGCCCTGAGCGTGAAAATTGGGAACTTAAGGGGTCATTTGGGTTTCCTTAAATTTATCATAAATGATTCCGAAGTAAAACTCACAGACTCAATGCTGACCTTCATAAAGCCCAGTAGAGTAATAATATGTGAAAATAAACTCAAGTTTTGTACCCTGATGATTCCAAACTCGAGATAAAAAACTAAATAGTATCGTTCGTGCTCAACCTAGAGCCGAATTTCAGGAATGGCTATGTAATGTTTGGGGAGTTGGCAAGGGACCTGACTACGCTGCTATCCTAAAAGCCTTTGCCTCGTCACTGCAATGGGATTCCTATATAATTTTACACCGGAAAAAATAAATTGTGGGTGGAAGGGTGGGGGGGGGGGGAGGTGGTTAAGGGAGGTGGCAGGGGCGTACAATTGAAATTTCCTCCAGGGCCGGATTTCCTCTCCACGGCCCTGCCAATGACCAATATAGGGTCGTACTGTAAGTTCACTAAAGATCACTGCCTTACCATATTCAATTCCCTCTATAATTTTGATTTCCTTTTGTGCCTTTGTACACTGTAAGGAAAATTTCAAGTTTTAAAATGACAAAAAACGCCGAAACACGCGAACTTAAAATAGAGTCGTACATTGCGGGCATGTATACCGTTTTTCCAGAGTTGGTCAGTGAAGAAAATTGCCATCAGAAGTTTTTCCAGGGCTGCAAACCGGTTTTTGAACCGAACCGTCGCTGTTTTTTCGGGCTTCGAACCGAACCATTTTTATTTTTAAATGCCAATACCGCACCGAAAACCACTCCAAAAAATGGTTCGGTTCAGTTTGAAATTCACAACTTTGCCAAAAAATGCAACCCTATAGTAAAACTGCAAATATTTTGGAGTTTAATGGCATCTCTGTGAGTTATAATTTCATCCATATAAAAAATGCTAGAAATGTTTTATGTGGAAGAAAATGCATATAACCGCCAGCAAAAAAATCAAATCCGGGAAAAATTTGCCAAAAATCAACTTAAACCTTAAAAATTTTTAATAGAAATTCTTATTAAAAAGTTTGCAATTTGGTTGAAAACTTGCAGAATTTTCACAATTTTTTTGACAAAGTTTTAAACTTGGACGATGAACTATACTAAAAAAAGTAAACCTTAAATAAAACAAAAATATGGGCATAATTGTTAAAATTTCGCATCACTATTTATTTTTCCACTACTATAAATGTGGCTGTTTGAATTTAATCTCAATAATAAAGCCTTTTATTTTTATATACATAGTTTTGTAAGATTTGTATCCTTTACCATAAAAAAAAAATTGAACCATTTGAACCGAACCGAACCGCGGTTCGGGAATACCCATGCACCAAGATTTTTCTAAGCGGATAAGCAACTGAACAGAACCGCACCATTTTTTGGAGTGGTTTGCAGCCCTGGTTTTTTATCCTCCCGTAAAATCTTTAAAATGGGACTTAGCAACTTTTCACTCTAAACTAGCGAAATATTTTTTAGTTTTTTTAAATTTGTATTGAAGCCTGTTCTTAAAAAAAAAATAAAGCTACAACGATGAAAATCGATCGATAAATAAACAAGTTTTGAATGAAATGGGGCTGGGAAATAATGTTACTCATACGCCACATCGTACGGTGACTACCTTGTACATACTCGCACAAGGCGTAAATATGCGTAACAATTTCCATGCTGAAGTTCGATTATTTTTGCAATCAATGCAATGCAAACTTAAAATGAAAATATCTTGGACAATTACGTGATCTAGAAAAATGATATACAGATCCGGGATCTACGATCCAAACACAAGTTTACGCTACGAAGTCCTTACACGAATTAAATTATTTACTTTATTTCATTTAATCTTATTTCATTCTAAGTATTCTACTTCATTTGTTATTTCATTCTATTTCAGAACATCGTAAATATTTTATATTTATAACCTCAGTACTTTATTATTTACTATATGATATGCCGTGCCAGCTGTCGGTTGCATTAAAATTATTAAATTGTCAAATATCTTTTAATATTTTTATTTTTTCCACAAATTTCATAATCATAATGAAAATGCATTTCATTGCAATTTTTGATGATGATTTAATACCAAATGTTGTCTGTGCACAAAACCGAGCTGTCATAATATGAAATCAAATATGCCCACACACACACACACTCAGGTATACCGAATAGGCACACATACACACCAACGAACACAATTGCATTGTAGGCCAGCTCGAAGAGCGCAACGCGTCAGAGCAGGAGAAGGATGTAAAAAGGGCATTTGTTGTGGAATAATAGCAATTTTGCAGCTGCCAAACGACCTGCAATACTCGCATGTACCTATAGTATAACTGCTAGCTTGCATATAAACACATATATATATATATATGTATATATGTATATGTGCTCTATACTCAACGAATTTGGTTCATCTCTTGACTCTTTCCTGCTTGCTCGAATGCCGATCAAGTTGTGATATGGTCGTTGTGTGTCACATTGCGGCAGCATATAAAATTGTGTTGCGGTCATAAAACCTCAAAGTGCATTATGACCGTTATCCTTGTTGCGACAAAACAGGATATGTGAAATAATTAACATTCTCATAGTTGCACTAAAATGGCCAACACATGCCATGGAAGCGGGTGTCCATACGCACAACAGCATTCACACAAATGGAGGCATATTAACTTATTACTCTACATACATACATACATATGGGCATTTCCTGCGTTACGGGCGTAACATCCTAACACATTCTTTCAGTATACTGTATACATATGAGCCATTCTTTTTAAGTCGGATGGATTTCGTAAAAAAATGATGTCATATCTCCGATACGCTTCAAATTTTTTCTATGGGGTCTATACATGAAATAAGCTACGTATTCGAGAAATTTTTATATATGTACATTAGAGCGGGTCGATTTAAAAATCGCCCATTGCTCTGTAAAAATCATATTCTAGGGATCAAAATAACAAACTTTACCGAAGGAACCATACCTCTAAAAAGAATTCTGATGTCCCCCAATTTGGGTCGAACTTTTGGGTAGGGGCAA